GAGCAGGTACTACTTACTGTCCCTGGTTTAGGGCGCAGATTGAACCATATTGACTAGAAGCCAGGTCATGTTGTGTTTAAAGGCAATGGCTCTCTTTGGCTCTTTCTCCTAGCTCCTGGTAAGTGGACCTACTAGGTTCAGCCTGCCCTAAGGGATGACCTTTAAGGGTTGACATCCCTTTCTCACTCCAAATACCAGGGCTAGTTAGCTGAGCCAAGATCCAGCTTGGGTGTGGCCTTCCTATTCTCTATTCACCTGGAAACCTGCTTATCATGGCTTTTGGTTCCATCATCCATGGTCAGCCAGAGGGAAAGGAGATGTTGGTTTGGACTTCAGAGTAGATGGATCTACCACAGGCTCCATGCAGCTTGACTAGAGCTCTGTGCTGAGACATATGCCATTTTTGCCTCTAGTAATCAAGCAGCCATTGTTTTCCAATTGTTGTTGTTTCAGAAATGTCTGAATGTACCTTAGCAGTTGTTCTCAAACCTTAGCATGCATCGGAGTCACCTGGGAGGCTTGTTAAACCACCCATGGCTGGGTGCCACACCTAGTTTTCTTTACCAGGTCTAGGGTGGGGCTTGAGAATTTGCCTTTCTAGCAAGTTCACAAGTGATGCTGCTGCTGCCCCAGGACCAGACCCTGAGAACCACTGCTCCATGAAATTCTGAGAAGGGTGTGGAGTAGAAAGGTGACCAGCAGGGCAAGATGAAAACACTCCTGAGTTTTGGACCCTAATGGCATCTTAATTCCATGAACCCCACACCGTACCACAAGCCAATCCCCCAACACCCAAGGCTGCCAGGGGATCCGATCCAGAGGAGGCTGATGCCAGCAACAATGCCAACTCTCAGTAGTTAGTTTGGGGATGCTACACCTTGAGGAGGACTCAGGAGAGTACGGGTTCAAGGAACCTTATTCTTGGACAGACCACGAAGTAAAGTGATTCAGTGTAGAGTCCCTGTAGGACTGCTAGTTACTGCCTACGCAATTGCCTCTCCGAAGTTTCTCTACCTCCTTGTAATACGGGGCCTAGGAGTGTAAAATCCAATTTCTAGTCACCTTTGCAGCTAGAATTCAAGGTTATGAAAATGAAATGCAATCACATAGGATTAAAAGGCCAAAAAGACAAGCACGCTCTCTTCCTTTAGCTTGTGGGTGCACAAGAAGACTCTGGAAGGCATGAGTGTGGTCAGTGGCTGCATTCCATGGTCCACTGTCTAGTCACCAGCCTTGTGGTTATGGGGGCTCTGACGGCTTCCCCCGACTCTATTCCTCCAACCCTTCCACTCGATAACTTGCATTAAATCCCTCTGAGCTCGGAAGATCTAGATTGTCTGCTGTTTCCTGTATTAAACCCTGACTGATCCAGGGAATGAGGTTGTTTGGGAGCTTTGTACCCGAGGTCGGGATTAGTGTGGGCAGAGAGGGTAGTAGAGACCCTGCAGGTGGTGAGATGACTGTCCTCAGCTGGTGGCAACTTGGGTGCGCCGAGCCAGATCCCAGCGAGCCTGCCTGCCATCCAGAAATCGGGAGGGCTAAGAGATGAGCATGCTGAATCACTGTCATCTTGTTCTGCCTCTCGCAGGAAAGCCTCACTTCTGCTGGCACCCCCTTCTGATTTTCACAGCAAAGCAGGAAAAACAGCAATTTTTGGAGCATCCAGGCAAACATTTTTACTAAGGCTCAATGACTATTTGCTCTGCCCATTTTGATATTTGATTTTCACTGTCCTGTGCTATGGGCTCATATCTGGGCGCTCACTCCATGATGAGGTTATCACCGGTTTAACGGAAGATAGTGACTTTTCTATTTCCAGCCTGAGAATGAATGATGAGTTACTTTGGCAAGTCAGCTTCACTCAGTGTGATCTAGGACTTGAGTGGATGTTGCAAATTTCTGCTACAGCCCAGGGAGTAGGGCTGTCCCCTCTGCCTACCTTGTTGCCTAAACCCTAGCTTAGGGCCTTGCACCTGCAGGAGCTGATTCATTGACTCATCAATTCTTCCGGAGCAGGGATGACACCAAACATATGTCACTTAATTAATTTTTGTCCAGAAGGAACTGATTGCTCTGGTCACTGTGTCCTTGTTCACAAACGCATGGTACTGCCCCCTGCAGGAGGCACGCACATCCCCACTCTGGCTTGCAGCGGTGGTCACGTGAGATTGGCCATGACCAATGATGTCTGAGTGGAAATGACTGTCTTTGGTCCGCATGTCAGCAATGACGCTGATACATACAGGTGATTTCAGCCTGAGGCCCCTGAGCAAAGAAAGTGGAGCAGGGCTGTCAGAATCCAGAGTGGACATGTTGCTAAAACTTGTGTTTTTATATGAATTCTGGACTTGTTAATTTACTTCTGTGAAGTAAATTGAAGACATTCTAGAAGCCTAATAGATCACACATCTTGTCCTGGCCAGAGTTTGGTCCCAAAGGCCAGGGCACCAATCAAATCGCCCTTCCTCCCTCACAGGGACTGGAGGGGATGCTCCAAAGGAAAACTTTAGGCAAGGGAACTAGAGGTTTCTGAAGGGATTTTGTTACTGTAGAATTTTATCACTCCACGTATCTAAAAGAATTTGCCAGAAATAGAAATACCAGGAGAGCCATAAAGATGTTAATTTTTATCTCATTTTTATTCTTGCATATTTGAAAGCCGGGGTGGGGGGGACATCCAAGTGACAGATCAAGGCATTGAAAGAAGTTCAGATAATGGTAATCCTAACGGTTACATTAAATAGAGGTGATTTATTAGCACATAGCTGCGATAGGAAAGCAACTCCATGGTAAATGAGAACCAAGGCTTGAAGGTTAGTAAGGCCGACTTTCTGTCAAGACATCCCTTGCTCCAAGGGCCTGGCTCATTGTTAATTGATGGCCTGTGGCTCCCAGCACAGTGCTCTGCTCTGGCTGCTGGGCCTGAGGGAAAACGACTTGTTTTGAAATACAGTGTTCTTAATGAAGCAGATCCCGACCCTGAAATTGCAAGAAAATCATCTGAAAGTGTGATGAAAAACTGGTCTATTGAAAATTCAGTGACCTTTCCAATGTTGATTTTAAAATAATAGATTTGTTTTATTTGACACTTTGGTAAATGCTGTAATAAAACACAACAAGGTCAAAGAAATTAGCCGGTGTGTTTTGTGCCCTGCAGCCTGAAATGTCTAAACTATATCCTTGCAAATGGGCATCACTATTAGTGAAATTTTGTTGCAAATTTTGGCATGGACTGTTTTGGAGTGTCAGACTTTAAGGCGCTATCACAGAATTGGCAAGATTCGAGGATTTTCTTTTTTTAACTGATTTAATAACATTTTTCTTTATTGTCCCCATAATCACCTGCTTTATGAACTGTGGCTGGAGCTGCTGTTGCAACTGGTAATTTTCTTAGAAGCCAAATGCATTTATATTTTTCCAACTTTTGATTTCCATCATTTCTGGGAATTGTTAGTAGATGGAATAAAAAAAGAATACATTATAAACAATTCAAAACACCAAAAACAAAATTCCTTGGACCTTTTACAGATACCACACATGCAAATAAATGTGGCTTTGCATTCCAATGACATTCAAGTGGGGATTACATTTTCCTCATTAACCTCTTTCTTAACCAAACAGTATTGTTTTTCAAGCCTGTTTTAAAGAAATCAAGTCTGACATCTTAAATTAATTCACACTGACTCCGTTCAAATGAAGAGGTAGACTGTCTTCTTTTGATCCTGGTCCTTTGTGCAGTTCTCGTTGAACTGTACCAAAGCAGCCAATTAGTTTAGGATGAAATCCGGAGATAGTGTTGCTTGCAAAACCAAAACATTCGAAGTACTAGGTGTGGTTTTTACTGCATTTCTATGGAAGGAGTGGAAGGAGTAAACGACGATGTACACCTGAGGTCTGAACGTGTCTGCTTTCCTGAGGCAAACCATTTGTAAAATGAATGTACTTACTTCTAATTGAAAGAATACCCAATCTGTTTTCCATCAGTCATAACCAGTAATTCCTCTGCTAATATGTGAACCTTAATTTGAAGCAGTGGGACTCTTCTCTTTCCTCCAGGAAAGTCAACAGAGTTGTTTAGAGAGATTGCACAATTTTGGTAGGAGCAGAAATGTAACTGGATTGTTTTCTAAACTTCTGTAAACACTGGTGCATGAATATGCAATTTGTGGGGTATACATTGTTTCCAGCGTCGATATTGGAGCATGGGTGATGAAATATGTGTGTGTGCGTGTTAGGTGTCATCTATCTCAGTAAAATGGAAGAGACTTGAAAGTAACTCTTGGAGTTAAACCCACCAATTTCAGGATATCCTGCGTCAGTTGCGTTCACTCCGCTGTTAGCTCTGTCTCCTTTTGGCAGGCATTCTGTTTCATTCCACCATCTTCTCATGAATTGTTTTTAGATTTCTATAATCCTGGCTAGAGATGTCATGAGTTAGAATTGGAGAGGGAACGAACACTAGTTTTCTTAGCGTCCACGGTCCCGAAACGCGCTCGTTAACGTTACTCGACATCTTTTCTACATGTGCCTTTCTTTAGAAAGTGGAAAAATACGTTATTGAGAATTTGTCAGATGAAACTATATTGCCAAACATTTGCAAAACTGAATTATTGACGAAATGCATGTGATTTCAAAGGGGCCTGCTTAATTGAAAGCAGTTGCGGTGTTTCAGCATGAGAATGTGGCTTATCCTTTCTGTTGTCTATCTGTCTTTAGATTGCTATAGAACATACCTCTGGACCTTCACTGTCCCCAGATAGCCGTTTCTACACAGCTAACTCAGAACAGATTAGAGCTAGAGTTTTAGGACACCCTATGGCTTTTATTTCTTGAGCAAGCATTAAGGAAAATCGCATCCTCATGTTCTCCCATGGTCACCTCTAATTCCGGGAACGCTGAATTCCCGCGCATGTCCAGAGTGCCAGGCACAGTCTACCAAGTTGCACAATCAGGCTTGTCCACTCCCCACGTGTGCGGTCATTGCCAGGATGCAGCTGTGCCATCGGTAGGACCTCTGAGGAGATGCTCGCTCAAGTCACGCAGCCTCGGGGCTGATTTGTTGCTCACTCTTAAAGTCCCAGTTTGGCTGACATTTAGCCTACCTCTGAGAATGACACTAAAATCAGCTCTGCCATTAACGAGAAACAAAGCTATTTCCATGGTGAAAGAATAGTCCGCTTCATGGAAAATTGCACTTGCACACTCGGGGATCCTAATTAACAATTAGAATTGAAAATGTGAAAAAGCCCAAATGCGCACTGTGTGTGATGTGTGGTAAGGGGAGATTTTTCAAAAACCTAATGTATTTGACATCTCAATTGTCTTTTGACTAACCGAGAATTGGCATCTTGAAAACTGACCAAAGGAGAAAAGAAATTGTGTTTCATTTTGTCATTTTAAGTATACTTTCTTTGTCAAGTGACTCCCTTAATTAATTAGGGAAACCATCAAGGGCAACGTAGTTAGTTCATCTTCATTTGCGATTTCAGAAAAGCTAATGGCCCAAACTGTCTTCTGAACTTTTCAAAGGACCTTTTGCTGTGGAACTTCATCTTGTTTAAAGATGTTAGAGCTGTGTTGAGATTAATATCAACAATTAGAAAGTAATATCATGGTTCTGGTTGTCATTATCCTGTTTAGACACGCTAGAACTAGATTGCCTGTGTTAAAATTTAATGGACTAGAGAAGAAAAGCATCCAGAATCTTAATGATGGGAGCTTCCACTCTCCAGGCATTTGCCAGATGTCTCAATTTCTAAACTCAGAACATCTGATAAATCCACAATTTGCCTCACTTAGGGTTCTCAGTCCTTGCTGCACATTAGAATAATCCCAGAATTTAAAAAAAATAGGTAGATAGATAGATGGATAGATAAGCAGGCCCCACCCTTCTAATTAAAGCAGAATCTCTCAAGGTAGGCCCCCAGACTTCTTTTTTAAGTGCCTCCAAGTGATTTGAATTTGCAGCCAGGTTGAGAATCATAACCCACATGATAATTTCATCTTTCAGAAGGGAGAGGAAGTGATGAAGAGGATTAACACCCTGCTTCTAATTCTGGCCAACTCGGAGGCCTTGCATGGAAAATCAGAAGTGACAGGAATCCTGGAAGAGAGCCACCTGGCCATCAGAAAATTCCAGAGGGATGTGGTCACTGCCAGACACACACTTGGTTAGTTGCAGTTTTAAAATATCTCAGGAAATTATAAAAGCTTGACTTTGACTGCCCCATCTGAGATTCCAAAAAGAAGCAGGGGAGAGTCCTCAAAATAAAATTTGGATGCTGCTATTGTAAACGGTCCTAGACAGGGGGCGGGGGGGTGGGGGGAAGAAGAGAAAAAGGAAGGAGGTAGCCAAAAAGATTTAGTGTCTTCATGCAGGAAGCCGTCTGCTGAGAGCAGATATATTTTTAAATGGTATATGTAAAATGTGAAAGATGAGCTAGAAAAACAAGCATGGATGCAAAAACTCTGTCAGGAATATGTGAAAAAGTCAGAAAGATTAAATCCAGAAGGAGGATAACATTCTAGATGATGAAGAGGGCTGTTTGAAAAAAAGCAAGCAAGTGTAGAATCCATACAGGGCTGTGATGGTGTTAGGCGGAGGTTATGTCAACGGTGAAAAGACAAGGTGGCTACACCCTCAGACTCCATTTTACTCTTTAGATGAGGAAGGGCAGGACGAAGTTTGGGAAGCAGGAATTCAGAAATAAGATCACTTAGGAGCAAATGCTAGCTGTCCTAAATAAATTCAAACACTGGAAATAACAGACCAGAATGTTATCAGAATTTTCAAATGAAAAGGTTTTCATCTTTAAAAAATATGGGGAATGAAAAAAAAGAAAAGGAAAAAACATATGGAAAGTGAAAGAAGTACCTGAACGCTGTCCCACATTTTTAAAAAAGGTTTTATTTATTTATTTGACAGAGAGAAAGAGAGAGAAAGAGAGCGCGTGCATAAGCAGGGGGAACGGGAGGGGGAGAAGCAGGCTCCCCATGGAGCAAGGAGCCCCATGTGGGGCTTCATCCCAGTACCCTGGGATCATTTTCGGAGCCGAAGGCAGAGGCTTAAACCACTGAACCACTCATTTTTTCAAGAGGAAAATAGAAAAATTATTTGGATTATAGATGCAAAGTCCTGTTGATTCTTTAGTTCAAAAATTCTAGAATTTACTTTTACATGCAGCTTGAATGTAAGACTTGCCAAGTTAAATCCTACCCATAAAACTGAATGGGAAGAAATCAGAGAGGGAGACAAACCATGACAGACTCTTGACTCTGGGAAATAAACTGAGGATTGCAGAAGGAGACATGGGTGGAGGGGTGGGGCAGCTGGGTGACGGGCATTAAGGAGGGCACATGATGCGATGAGCACTGGGCGTTATATGCAACTAATGAATCGTTGAACACTACCTCAAAAACTAATGATGTACTATATGTTGGCTAATTGAATTTAAATTTTAAAAAATCCTACCTATGACATAGTTCCTGAAAAGACTAGACACAAGGCATGGTAAAATTTTAAATAATTTGAATTCAGAAGTTTGCAACCCTTCAGAGTTAGATAATAGTTAAATACACTTTTGAAATAGTTGGGTATTATAGTATAACAAACTATTCCAAAACTTAGTGGCTCCAAATAACTACTATTAACTCATTCACAATTCAGCTGTTTTCATGTATCCCTCTGGGTGGTTCTCCTGCTGGTTTTGTCTGGGATCACTCAGGTGGCTTCAGTCATGTATAGCTTAACTTGGGCTAGATGGCCCAGGATGGCCTTAGTCACATGTTTGTTGGCTGTTGCTGGCTGTCAGCTGAGCCACGTGTCTCCCTAGGAAGCGGGATGCTAATTTACATAGTGAGGGCAGCATTCTGAGAAACCCCCCTCCCCCAACACAGCAGAAGCTGCAAGATCAAGGCTGGAAGCCATATAACATCACTTTTGTCTCATTCTAATGGGTCAGAGCAAGTCACAAGGCCACTTCAGATCAATGGTCAGGGAAATAGGAAATACCTTTAGGCGAGAGGTACTGCAATTCATATACCCAATCTATCCCATCCTATGTCTCCTCACAAAAATGCTTCTATACATAAATATTTTAATTTCAGGGGATCCATGGATCCTTCCAACCCAAGTTAAGGGCCTTTAATCTATTCTAACCATTGCATATTTAAATAAGGAAATTAAAGCCCAAAAGTACTTGCCCGGAGTCCAACTGTTATTTCTGTAGTATTAGTATACACACCCGTAAGTGTGCTACTACGTATGTGTTGTAATACTAATCCTGTGCCGTTTTCATTATGCCAGTCTCTGATCACCTTATTATTACAGGGAATGGATTTCAGCAATGTTATAAATGGCCATTTGACTACGCAATCAGGATAATGTAAGTCAAATGTATGCAGGGAAATATGAATGTATTATTTAATTTGCATATTCTGTACATACATTCAGATAGAAAAGTAGGCCGGTTAAAATATATATGAGGACTAAATTATTTAGTTAATATGCAAACGGGCACAGTTTCCAGTTATTTCTAAATTATGGGCATTTCCTGAAGTCTGGCTCTCTTTTTACTGACAGGTACTCTCTATGCTTCAACTAACTCTTACTGAAAGTTGATTGCAATGGATGCTTTGTGATGAGCAAGCTTGTTTTCACTTTTTTAAAAATTTAATTTAATTTAATTCTTTTTCAGTGTTCCAAAATTCATCGTTTATGCATCACACCCAGTGCTCCATGCAATACATGCCCTCCTTACTACCCACCACCAGGCTCAGCCAAACCCCCACCCCCGCTCCCCTCCAAAACCCTCAGCTTGTTTTCACTTTTAAACCATCTACTTATAAGTCATTCATTAACAAGAACAACAAATCATCAATTCCACTGATTTTAACTTACATAAAAACCAGACACTGTTGCCATTTCAAGTTTTTGGTTTTTTTCCTCATAAGATAAAGTTAACTAAAGGAAAAGTGATGTGGTTTAGTTTAAATTATTGCCTTTTGTGGGGTGCCTGGGTTGCTCAGTGGGTTAAGCCTCTGCCTTCGGCTCAGGTCATGGTCTCAGGATCCTGGGATTGAGCCCCGCATCGGGCTCTCTGCTCGGCGGGGAGCCTGCTTCCATCTCTCTGCCTGCCTCTCTGTCTACTTGTGATCTTTCTCTCTGGCAAATAAATAAAATAAGTAATTGTCTTTTTGTTTGTTGTTGCCAGTATATGACTTTTCATGTGAGGGCTGCGGGTATTACTAATTTTTTTTATTATTTTTTTTTTGAATTTTCATCTATTTTTTATTTTTTTAATTTAATTTTATTTTTTCAGTGTTCCAAGATTCATTGTTTATGCACCACACCTAGTGCTCCACGCAATACATTTTTGAAAAATGATTAGTATCTATATATTCATTTACTTTAATTGTTTTAGTGAAATTGGCAAGTTTATCTGGTTCACATAGATGGGCAGAAACTAGTATAAATGTCCAACTTTCAGACTAATAAAAGTAAGTTTTTTCTTTCTATCATAAAAATGTTCAAATATGCAGAGAAATAGAAAAAAATAGTACAATGCATACTCACGACCCAATACCTTTAATCAGTAGTTATAATCATTTCGCCATCTTTGCTTTGTATGTTCTGCTGTTGTTGTTGGAATATTTTAAACACCCCAAACACATCTTTTTACATAACCAAATTCTAATATATCTGACTTAATAAATTAATATTAATTCCCTAGGATCATGTAATACCTGGTCCATATTTAAATTGGACATACAACAATTATTATGTCTTTGGTCTTTTTAACTGGAATAGTACACACATACCTTTTCACAGACTTTTGTTGACTTTTTTTTTTTAAAGATTTTATTTATTTGACAGACAGAGATCACAAGTAGGCAGAGAGGCAGGTGGCGGCAGGGGTGGGCAGGAAGCAGGCTCCCTGCTGAGGATAGAGCCGGATGCGGGGCCCCCCTAGATCCCAGGACCCCAAGATCATGACCTGAGCTAAAGGCAGAGGCTTAACCCACTGAGCCACCCAGGTGCCCCCAATGTTGACTTTTTGAAGGTCAGTTGTCTTATCGAATACCCCAGTTCTGGACTTTCGATTCTTTTGCTCTTCTATCTTCTGCCTATCCCTTAGATCTGAAGTCTCAGTGAGATTCAGGTTATACATTTTGAAGAATATTCCATAAGTGAGAGTGCCTGCTTCATAGTGCATGACATCAGCAGTACATTAAGCCTAGTTGCCCCACTGTTGGGGACATCAACTTTGATCATTGAGTTAATGTGATGGCAAACACAGCTCTTCTCACTAGGAAGATGCATTTTTCACTTTGTAAGTTAGCAAGTGTACCTGTGAGGTGGTAGTTTGGTTCCATGAAAACTTTAGTTCCCTAAAGTTAGGTTGTTCTTGTTGTTGTTTGTTTGTTTTAATTTAATTTTATTTTTTTTCAGTGTTCTAAGATTCATTGCTTATGCACCACACCCAGTGCTGTTTTTTAAAACAAAACTCATTGTGCTTTTAGTTTTTATAAAGAATTTTACCCAGTTTTTCAGAGTTTTCACTTAGTTGGGTATTTTCAACCTAAAATTATGAAATTCTCTGTTCATATCTTTGTCATCTTGGGTACCATTTTGGTTTACAATAGTTATGCACATCTGGGCTAGTAAATTGGGCATTAGTGGGTTACCAGGGCTATGTATTGTCATTCTCCTATTCACTCATTTTATTTTACGATCATTACATGCCAGGTTAGAAATGGAACTATGTAGTGTTATGGAAGTGAATGTCACGTTGCCATGAGTAAGGCAATGAGATCCCAGCAGCACCCACTGTACCAAGAAGCTGAGCATTGACTGAAGGTATGATGGCTACTAGACTCTTACCATGAACTAACTGTGCCTCACATCGAAATTGAAATATTGGTCCCTTGGAGTAACTTCTTTGTTTCCTATCTTAAGAAGGTCAGAAGACGGGAGTGAAAACATACCAGTAACCAAATATGGTGGTATCAAGCCTAATGAGGAATTAAAAAAAAAAAAATTTCTAAAATCTGTGTCTGTTCATTTTCCTTGTTTCATTGGTTTTGTTTCACCCTCATCTGTGAGTCATTTGCCTTTCGTCATCTTCCACAATGGCTTCTGCAAGAATATCAGTCTTGAAACGTACAACATGGCTCGCACCCACTTCAAACATTGTTTCAAATCTCATTTATTATTTCATACTGTGGTCTCACTAAAAGCCAACGTTCCTGAGACTGGGAAGCACATACCTTCGATTCCCAGGGTGAGAGGGGAAAGAGAGTGCAAGAGCAAGCCAGAGAGAGACTTAAAACTGTGAGAACCTCCCCAGCAGACATGGGAGGAAAACAAGAAAAATCAGAAGTCTTACAGGCAGCTGAAGTCTCCAGACACAAGAAAACTGGAAATTGCCCAAACCTAGACTTGGTAGAGTATAGAAATGTGATGAAGACCAGGAGTAGTATTTTCTCCAGTGAGAGGTTAATTACTTAAGGACCACATGCCCAGGATTATAAGGATTTGCCTGAGTAGCCCAGGGAATACTTATCTGCAGTAGAATTAGTAAAAGGGAGAGATGAGATGCTATGTGAGCCACCTCTGACATGAAACCATATTAAGAACTTGAAATTAACACTGGGAATAATCATATTAAATGGATAGCAGCAGATGAAAGTTATAATAAGTAGGAATTCTATTATTCTAATTAGCTTCAATTTTCAGATACTAAAATCCAAGTGTTTGGGGGAGCCAAATCCAGTCACTAGGGTTTAGCATCATTCCTTTACAGAAAAACAAAAACAAGTTCTCCATGTTATCCATCCATTAAGGGACACTGAGTTGCCCATCAGCCTGGTTGTTCCTGGTCGCAATTCAATCCCTTCAGCTCTATCTGCCTCATGATGTTGACTGGTGCCCAGGGAAACTTTCAGTCCCAACCCTCAACCTCCAGGGAAGGGAGAAGGGCTGGAAGTTGAATCAATTACTAGTGGCCAAGTGGCCCATCAATGATTGAATCATGTGTACATAGTGGAGCCTCCATGAAAACCAAAATGAAGGAGTTTTGAGAATTTTTGAGTTGGAGGCATGGGGGGTGTAGGAAGAGTGGTTGGCTCTGAGAAGGCAAGGAAGCTCCGCAAACTTTCCCCACACCTTGCCATGTGCATGTCTTCCATCTAGCAGTCCCTGAGTTATGTATGACCTGGTGGTCTGGTAAAGAAACTTTTCTCTGAGTTCTGTGAGCCACTCTAGCAGATTAATCAAACCCAAGGAGGGGATGGTCATGGGCACCACCAATTTATAGCCAATTGTTCAGGAACACAGGCGACAACCTGGACTTTTGGTGGCCTCTGAAGTGGTGAGGCAAGGAGCAGTGTTGTGGGACTGAGTCCTTAACCTGTGGAACCTGATGCTGTCTCTGGGTAGAGAGTGTCAGAATTGAGGTCACTTGCAAGACGCCTGGCTAGAATCATAGCATTGCTTGAAGTGTGTGGGGTCAGCAGTGAGGCGGCTGAGTAGTGTGAGAGTCAGAGAGAGACACACAGGGGTGTTTCTACTTCAGGGATAGGAGTGATATTCTTCACCGCATTCACTTTGTTAATATAGTTCATATGCTTTTTTAAAGGATGTGTTGTACACAAATCTAGGCCTTTTTAGAAAATCTAAATTTGTCTGACAAGAAAATAAAAATGACAGAGTAACTCAGAGTTACTCAAGAGAAGAAAGTGAAAAAGATGAGAAATCCTTCTGTGGTGAGTTCATATTTTGAAATATTAACATTTCTCTCTCTCTCTCTTCTTCATCCCTCCCCCCCTTACTGCCCCCTCCATTTAATTAAACTAGGCCTTTCTTTGATTATTGAATCAAGGAAGTAATGTGACAGCAAGACAAAGAAAAAAAGGGCTTTGAGTTTCCAAAGACAAGGCCTTAAGGCGCCAGAAAACATTCAAGTCATATGATGTGATGAGCACTGGGTGTTATATGCAACTGACAATTTATTGAACACTACATCTGAAAATAATGATGTACTACTGTAAGTTGGAGAATTGAATTTAAATGAAAAAAAAAGAAGAAAAAAACATTCAAGGCATAGACCAGGGGCTTCAAGGGGTGGCATCTTCCTCCCACCCCTTAGATCCCTTAGGGGACATTTGAAAGTATAGTGAGGGATGGTGTAAGTGTTTGTCACAACTGGGAAACATTATTGATTATGTGCGAACAGTGGATGGGGCCAGGGATGCCAACCATTCTGCAAGGAGTGGGGCAATCCTGCATAAGGAGGAAGATCTGACCCCAAGTACCAGGTGCACCCGTTATAAAACTCACCAGTGGACAAGAATACTGAGAAACGGGAGCCCTTGTGTATGGCTGGTGGAAAGGTGAAATGATGCAGCCACTGTGGAAACAACATGGCAGTTCCTCAAAAATTAAACAGAATTACCATATGACCCAGTAACTTGATGAGCTTCTCAAATGCCTTGGCTCTGTTAACCATCTCAGAATTCATAGGTGACACTAGGGACAAAGACAGCTCCTGAGTTGACCAAACATTGGCTTGAAATAGAATTGTAGCCGCATCATGAAGTTACATTTCTTGTACACTGAATCTCCAGCCTGACAGGAAAAGCCATCCTCACATTCCTTCCAGCCCTCTAAAGGCTACCCACTTGGGGTCACTTGGGGCCTTCCCAATAACATTCCACTTCCACACTACGTATTCACTTGTGTGAGAATTTCCATCATCAGCGACTTCAGTTCGCATCTTTGGGTGATGCCTTGTCTCTCGATTCTTTATTTTACCTGGACCAGAGGGAAGAAATCGGCTGTCCCATCTGTCAGAATTTGAAGTGGAAGAGGGCATCACCACAGGTAAGTGAGTTTACTGAAAAGAACAGGAGGTACAAGTTGCAAGCTTGGGGCCCTGCCAACTTTGGCTCTTCCGGCCGAGGTCCCTTCAGCAAGAGCAATGATGATTGCAATCTAATGCCTGTTACTCTCTTATCTTATGTCCATACCGCTTGCAGCTTCCAGGGTGAGGAGACCCAGCTGTGGTGAGCTGCTGAGTAAATCACTGTCCGAAACACAGGTGTGGTCGGAGGTCGAGCTCTTTATACAGAGGTGTGACTTAGAGCTTTCTCGGAAAAAATAGTCAGAAAAATAGTCACTGCACCAGAAACAGGAAAGTTTCCTTCCCATCTTCTTTTTCCTCTGGGATCTTGATTTACTAAATGACATTTCCTCCTCATGGTTTCATATAAAATTTAAAAATAAATGATCCCTCAAGCAGCATGGGAATTCATGGAGCACATTCAGAATATCATAACCTTGGTAACCACACACAGGGGACAGCTGTCTGAGAAGGGTCTGACGTGAAACTAAGAAGTCTCGCTCTCGTTCTTCTGGATCCTTCTAGTGGTTCTGAATGATCAATGAGAAAGTAAAAATGTTTCTAGAAACATTATCAAACGTGTAAACCTGAAATGACTGCTTATATATTCTGAAAGGGTGAGCATTTCTTCACGACTCCCCCTGGAGAGGATTCACAGGTAAGGGGAATGGTATCTAACATTCACCTCAAAAGGTGAGGATGTGGGGATTAGTGGAGGCAGTGTATGTCACCCGTTTAGCAAATGCCTAGAACTTGATAATCACCTGAGAAAAAGTTCTAAATTGTGATGGTGAAGACAAGGATGCCATTAATTCCAATACGTCAGTTTTCAAAAGTTGGTTCAATGTGGTAAATACTCAGTCAACTTTTTTTTCCAGAAAGTCAACTTGTAACAGACATGTTTATTTTTCAAAATCACAAACGTGCCTAAACCATTATCTGTCGTGACCCTGCCAGTGCGTCCTCCTCAGCAAGAGAATGTGTTCAGACCCCTCAGCACAACCCGGAGGGGACTTCAAGGTTGAGCTACTGTGGACTCCTGCAGCCTTGCTACCTCCTCCCAATCCCCGGCTCCTACTGCCCCAGATCTGTCAAAATATTTACAATGGTCCTACACTGGCGACTGATTCCTGCCTCTTGCCCATTCCGCCCAGAGCTTTCTTTCCCTTCCTCTCCCTGTCCAATAAACACCCATCCTCATTTATCAGGATCAATCCCAGGATCTGCTGAGAACTTTTCTTCCCTGCACTCCACCAGGTAGCTCAGCCTGTCCCTCATGGGCATCACCCATTTCGTGGAAACTTCTATCACTTCTCTGATAGCTGGGTGGCCGCATAATTTATCGCCCAAGTTAGGACACTTCTGTAAATAACAGGGAGCTCTTAAGTAGTATTTCACAACAGCAGATGTAAAGGGGGACTGCTCTGGGCTGATAGAATGTGTGGTTATCCCACCATTAACACTTCATTTCATACATATGTGTATCGAATCATTATGTTTTCTATCTGAAACCGAAAGCTATAGGTCAGTTATATCTCAATTTAGAAAACAAATAAATAATCTACTTTATTTCCTAATTTATTTCGTTCCTGGCTGACAGGAAGCAAGTTTCTCTCCTTTGGCATCTGAATGCCGTGCCCGGCACCATGTGGGGCATGTAGTAGATACTCGAAGGAAGTTTGTCCAACACATACATGATTGACAGATGAATAAATGAACAAACTAAATAGTGCCTAATAGTTTTAGAAGAGTTTTTGTTCAGACAATAGCTTTGCAGATAATCCTGTAAAGGCTAATTTCTCCTTAAAATGTCTACTCATGTCTTCCAATGTTCTTTTTTTTTTTTTCCAAAGATTTTATCTTTATTATTTATTTGAGAGAGAAAGCACGAATGGGTGGGAGGGGAGGAGGAGAAGTAGGAAGCCTGACCCAGGATTCGATCCTAGGACTCTGAGATCATGGCCCAAGCCAAAGGCAGATACTCAGCTAACTGAGCCTCCCAGGCACCCTCAAGTTCTTCAAATGTTCTGTAGTCAAATACTTGAACTTACAAATAAAGCATAATTTTATACATGTAAATTTATCAGCCATCTTTAGTAAGA